CAACACAAGAAAAACTATGCATTCGCCATCTTTGGGAGGTGCAGCCACCCCAGCTGTTCAACTAAACTCAATCTTCTCTGCAAAACGGACCCAAGAGAAAATCCTGAAAAATCCCTGCAAACATGTGATAATTCCACTGATATTGAAAGTGATATACTTTAAGAACTATCAAAGCTATCATTTCGTCTGCAAATTTGAGTTAATGACAATTTTATCAAGCTAAAAACAGTCTTCTGTAAAATACATTGTACAGTGTGACGTCATTTAAGTCATATTTGCATGCCAAACAAAGTCCAATATCTTGATATACAAGAAGGATAACAAAGTTTTAGAAAAAAGTTACATTATGATTTCAAATGAACTTTGCAATTCAATCAAATTTCTTGCTTTTAGACACTTTAAACATTCAGAAATGAGTCCAACAATTGGCAGTCACTGAGCTCAATATAATTATCTGGAGCAAGAACTTCAGTCATGTTGACGTCCAATACCTACCAAATTGACGTCCAATAGCGATGAAGGCCATAAACAGTTCTAATACCAATTTCCCCAGCTAATTCCAGTTTCTCAACTGACCGTATCACTAGACAAGTTATCAGTTCATAAAACCATAGGAGAAATATCAGCACACTTTTGTATTTCTGGACTATCTATGAGGGATTTGAACTAAAAACACAGAACAATATGGACTGCAGTTACATCAATCTCACTTTTTCATTTAGATTTTAGCTCTTAAGTACGGTATTTACCACTACGTGGAACAATTGAAGAACATCGATCGAAAACCTAAGTCATTTTTCAGCTCCCGCAAAGCCCACGCGAAATACACGCGTGTTTTATATCTATTGACCGCCATCTTGGCTTCTCAGTTCTCCCAATCATAAGGCCGTTGACCTGGAGTTATCGCTCCAGTATTTATATATAGTTCACTGCGTCCAATAGTTCTTCAATTTCCGCCATCTTCAGTAAACTATGCTACGTCCAATAGTCATGTTATGTGAAATATTCCAGTACATCAAAATTACTCATTTCAGCGAAACGGTATAAACGTAAAATTTTAATGTTTTAGTTCCTTTGGTGGTAAACGACCAACCTGAACCACGATACGCCTTTGAAAAAGCTCCCGGAGGTCCCCAAAGACCATCTAATGCCCCTGCACAGCCAAGAACTGGTCACCAGTCCGTACCATTGTTCCCGCCAAGCGCCGCCCCAGTCCCTCAAGAGACTGTCAAATTTCGGCCGCCCCCTCCTACCCGCCCTCTGGCTAAGTCAAACCTACCTAGAACACCTTCCGCGCCTCCCACCTCCCCCACCAACAGACCCAAACTTCCACCATCTCGACCTCCTCCCAACTATAAATCCGTTCCGGACATCCCCTCTGCTGAAGACGCGAAGACAACACCCCCCGTGACAAAAAGACCAAACGCCGTTCCCCCTCGTCCAAAACCTCGTGCCCCACCGAACAGTCACCGGTCTGTACCGGAGTTTCCCGATGACATTCCAGTCGCCAAACAGAGGAATGTCGAGCCGCGACCCGGACATCAATCCGTACCAATGTTTAATCTACCTGAAGACGGGGGGTCGGTTAAACCTTCTGCTGTGAAAGCTAACCAGACAAGGCCATCGCCACCGAGAAGACCAAGAGCAAACGAAAATAACGAGGAAAATCGCGTTGACTTTAGAGCTGGCCTCAAGTCCGTCCCTAAACCATGGGAAAAGCCCTAAACTTGGCATTGAACTGTGAGGTCTTATTGGGTCAGTTGTCTTTTAAAATGTTGGCAAAGGTCTGTATTCAGATAAAACCCAATTAGACCCTCGAATTTTCAATTTTAATGATAGAAATCTTACTTATCAAGTACGTAAATTAATCAAATTTGACCACCATTGGAAGGCGGTAGACGGCGCTGCGGAGCACTTGATGCCGTCACTGATGATGCACATGCATACTGCTATCGCATCTTTCGTGTGTTATCACGAGTTTGTCAGAATCTAGAATTGCTATCATGCTATGGAACCAAACAGTGGAAATTTTCTGGAAGCCGTTTTCATAATTTTAAAGCAATCTCGCTGGATTTTTGAGCTTTCGAAGAATTGTTTTGGTGTTTTAAGAAAAAAATAGCATAAAAAAGATCGCAAAAAGTAGCTTTTCGCATTTCTACATTATTTTTAATTATTTCATTATTTAATTTAATGGATTTTAATTTTGATACAAGCATTACATAGTAATGGATAATTTTGCTAGTTAGATGTATGGTAAATACTGAAAATTTCTCACTGGACAGACCTGATTAATTATTGATGTGTTTTTGTAGGTGGAATAATTTTCGAGTGTAAATTTTATACATTTCAATTATTTTTGAGAAATCGATTCCTGCCTGTAGTTAGATTTTTCGCAATTGCTCCTCATTATAGGTCTATCTTGGATCAGGGACTTTCGTAACTCGCCTGATAGAGACCTTACAATTTTAGGACGGCAATGGGACGACGACGGCCAAAACAAACTCCTTCAAATAAATGGTGTAGTAAATATAATTCGTCGTATATCATCAATCGCGTATGAATTTAGTACAGTCTTAGAAGTTGAAGACATGGGTTTTATGGTTGGGAAGAGTTCTGCTGAACCCAGTTTCAAGTTGCACTTGTTGCGGCTTGAAATGCAGCCGTTGTATCAAGACGTGAAAATCTGTGATTTGGCGTTGTAAACAGAGCGAAGGACATTATTCATATATTGTAATTATTCAATTCTTTTCAATGATTTATTGTATTGGTAGCCGTTGCCGTCGCGTTGCCGTCCCAGATCGTAAGGTCTCTATTACCAGTCACCAGAAAACTTCTAAACCCAGGGTGGGTTAATTAGGTGTATAAAGATGTATAAAATTTACATTCAAAATTTGTTCTCTACAAAAAAAATTTTACTGGTTATCAATAACCAGTACATTATGATGTGTCAACCATCTTAAGGCCAATCAAGATAGGTCTGGGAACTCGCCCAAAGCCTTTGTTCTATCTTTTGTTCATGTTTTCGAAAAACTTGTGAACGGCATCAAAACAAGGAATTTTAGATCACTATCTGATAACCATTGAAATATTGCAGTATTAATTATGCGCAAAATTTCAAAAGATTTTTGACATTTTCCAAGTTCCCAGACTATAGCTTATCTGACTATGGCTTATAATTTTGGCCATATATTTTAAGCACCTTCCAAGCTAGTTGTCTAGATGTAAATTTGTTTTAATTATAATAACAGTGTGTGTAAAATTCGGGCGTTTGTATAGAGCTGCTTTATTAGACCGATTTTATGTAACTCGTCCAATGTCGCCACAAGAATTCACGTTGTTCCAATGACGTGAAAATCTTAGTTTAACGTTGTATTCAGAATGGCAACCTTGTCGGGGATAGCCCTGCGACCCTAAATTTTCGAACTGTTTGATTTGCTTGGGGAATTTCGTCACTCTCCTCCGCAGAGTCTGAATTATATAGTTTTTGTAGGGATAGTAGAGGATATTTAGTGGTGCGCGACGGGGGGTAGCCTGCTCACAGACGTTGTAGTTCTTACGCCAAGCGACGAAATACTACCGTCTGCTTACCCGAGTGCCAAACTGAATTCCGCCCCGTCGACCAATCAGAATTTACCTTCCAATTTCTGGAAAGTGACGTCAGTTGATTTAGGAGCGGAATAAATTAGTGATGGGCGATACCAGCTTTTTTGGTTTCGGTACGATACCAATCCGATACCATGAATTTTGGTCGATACCGATACCAAAATCGATACCGATACTCATTTTTTTCCATTTATTAAAATAACTTTTAAAACACGAACATTAATGTTTAAAACAAGTCAAAGAATACTCTAACTGGAGTACCTGCCAAATAATCGAACATAACATTTGCAATTATGATTTTAAATCAAAACACCAATGTTTTCCTCAAATATATTGCTAATTAGCTACATGTTTTTGTTTAAGAACAGCAGCATGTCAACATTTTTTGCCTTCAGGGGCCTTCAGTCTGTTGCCTTCATGAAGCATTAAGTGATTGGTCAGGAATACTGACCAAAAACATCGCAGGCTCAAGTGGTACCGATACTTTTTGCGAGTATCGAAAGTATCGATACTTTTGTAAGTATCGATGATTTCGATACTTTTTCGATAGTATCGCCCATCACTAGAATAAATACAGTCGAACCCCTATTAAGCGGACACCTTCGGGACCTCGCCTAAGTGTCCGCCTAAAAGATGACGAGACAGACGGCTCCAGGTTCGCAGCTCCAGGTTCGCGAACCTGGAGCCAGCTCCAGGTTCGATTTCAACCTGGAGCTGCAACGACTAGTTTGTAAATAAACTGCTTTGGCCGCTTAGCCACTAATGGAAATCCAATTTTTTTGAAAGACCATTTTTACTTGTCATATTCCTTAGTACGTGAGGGAAAATGAAGACATTATTCCGTTCCGTTCGTCCATGGTAGCTTGTGAAAGATCACTGGTTTTTTCTGACAAAGGGGCTGGTCAGCGGTGGGATAGATCGCAAAGCTCGTTTAAAACCTGATTTTTTTACCTTTATAACGAAAAACGTAAAATTTTGATTGATGACCATTCTAGAGAATGTATTCAAAAGTAATGTCAAGCGTTGAACTTATTTCCATATCGCGAAACCGCGATAAATAACTCGCGCAAAGTTGAACTGTCTAATTTCACGCAGGGCCCGGTTGTGTTAATTTTATCCTTCCGTAAATACAACAACTTTGGTATCCGTACATTTACGCTTTATATGAGTAATAATTTGATATGTTAATGACATAATATCATTTGTTGTGCTTTTCTGAAGAACTAACGATATAAACATGCTTAATATCCGAAACACACGACGCAAACAAGATCGCTAAAAATGGTGTTATTGTGCGGCTCAAGTCGTCGAAAGGCCACAACATGTCAAATACGTCTAGCATCGTCTAAATTGCTTCGCACATTTCTTGCTATTTTCGCCCTGCTACGAATTTCTAAAAGATGACCCTTCTAGACTAATATTCATTCTATCATATTTTACAGCATTTGAAACTTTAGGATACATATCCACCATGAGCAACTCGTGAAAACACTAGCATTCGTTACCGAGTAGACTTGGATCAAGTCCGTCTCAACAGAGTCCGAGTCGCGAAGCGACGAGATCGAGCGCGCCGCGAAGCGGCGCGCGAGACTGTGAAGGGAGAGACGGACTTGGCTCACTTGCAATGTTTCGAATCAGAATTATTATTTTGGCGGGAGATTATATTAAATAGGACCGGCGTTATTTTTAGTGGTTTTGTTACAAATACGGAAGCCGGCTTCCGTATGCAAGTGTCAGGGCAAAATTAAAATACAAAGTCACTGCAAAATAAAGTTAACTAAGTCTAAGGCAATACATGACCAATTCTGAGACGCTATTATTAAAAACCTCAGTCGAACAGATTTGTATATTGACATTTGTGATATTAACAAATTATCAAATATTTTAATGTCTTATATATAACTATAAGCCTTATATTTAAACACTTGTTCTATTAAATCGTATCTATAGACTCTTGTAGTTTATTTATATTTTGACTATTTGCCACAAAATTTGTCCTGAACAAAATATCCCTGACTGTATCATAATTTCGTGTGATCATGAAGTTTGCCGTGACACTTTATGTGTCTGTTGTGTAGTTTATACTGATCGTATTAAGTGATCAGTCATTAATACAACCGCTATCTCGATCGAAGCATGGCTTATAAAGTCAAAGACGAAGGGGTCTATTTGAAAAATTAACTCTTCCCTGACTCAGTTGGAGCAAGCATAAGTTTATATTATAAAGGACATCTCGACCAGCCACATAGGTTTCGACATAAACTCTTCGCTGATTGTCCATAACTTTATCGTATTCAAGTTTACGCAAACCATAAATAATACCATCTCGAATCGAATTCATCATGTAAGTATAAACTAAACCAACCTCCGTCGCAGAGACTTTAACTCAGACACGAAGAGAGACAGAAACGCTACATATTTTGAAACAAGATACTTTGTTATTTCAGCTTTATTGCAATTAGCATACATATATTATTGCAATCTAGTTATGACGTATTACCAACGGAAAAACGGGTCGGTAAATTTGGCGCGCTTGCAGGTGAGCCAAGTCCGTCTCCTCCCTCAAATTTTCCCGCGTTTTTGCACCTCGCGCGCCCGATCCCTCGGACAGTGAGTCGGACTCTTGAGAGACGGACTTGATCCAAGTCTATCGTAAATATTGACTTCAACATATTACATAATTCATACCTGGAGATTCTGTGTCATTAAAAGATCTTGAAGACGAAGGTTTAGACGAAGTTAAAGTAGCGATATCTTTAAAGATGCGGTACAGTCTGTATGTAAACAAAGGCTTTGTTTTACATTTCGATATCCAAATATAGAGTATAATAAATTAAGAGTATAATAAATTAAGAAGAGACAACAATCAAGCTTTGCAAGAACATAAAATGAAATAAAAACCTAAATAAACTGTTTGTAAGTAAAAAGAGAGCTCCTTTGTGCACATGCGCAGATCGGACTGTACCGCATCTTTAATCGTTCGAGTTCCTTTTCTGACCATGTTCTTATTTTTCTTCTTAACCTTTGTAAAGTCGTATTGCTTGGCAGTTCCTTCCTTGAGCCATTCCACTCAATGGGGTCTGGATGCTAATTAGCCCCAGTCGTGAAATGGCACATCATGGTTGTTTTGCGTGGTTGAAGACCAGAATTAAGCTAATTTTATACCTCCCTTGCGGTGTGTTGAGACTATGACGTCAGAAGCCTCTCGTGACAACATAAAATCAAGATGACGGATTTTAATGGCGGACAGCAATTTTGGACATTTCAAATGCTTGTAACTCCGCGGTCGTTAATCATATATGTTCGTCTGAAATTTTGCACAAGCATTTTTGGTGCAATACTAAAGTCGTTGCCAGCAAAAAAGGGAATTTTCTCGATGATGACTTTTCGTCACAGTCGCACTTTAAAGACCATGTAAAGTCCGTAATGTAAACAATCGCTTTGTTTACATTTTGAACTCAGTGCTACAGTTGTAAAATATATTAGATATATATTATACTGAATTTTTAACACTCTTCTGGTTCGCTATGCTTGTAAATGAATACACACTAGAGATTCAATTCAAGAAATTTCAAAAGATACGAAATATTAATAACATTCCAACGATCGGGTCCCGACCATTGGAATGTAAGCCTGCGCAGAACGTATGCGCAGAACGGACTTTACATAGTCTTTAATATATAAAGACAAAAAACCATCTGCCTTTCTGCCGCAGCAAAAGTTCACGTTGACGCACGCATTGTTTTTGCCATTACACTCTAAATATTAAAATGTGTCGATTATTTATAATGCTATTATTAGGAATTTTTAAAATATAATCTAATAAATAAAATAATATTATCAATTTTTACAAGTATATTACAGTAGAGCGACTGTTGTCTCAATCGCTCAGCAACTTCCGGCAGAGCATCTCTTGCGGAAATCATTGCCTCTGGGTTCATTCTACGAGATTTTGCGCGTTTTCCGTCTCTAGAAATTCAATTTGCGCTATAAAAGTCAAGTAATTTAAGACAAACAAGCGAATATACGCGAATATTGTGGTGAATATACGGCCTCGAATACTGCGACAAGATGCGGCAAATCCGATCCTCTCCTGGCGTCATGTGCCTAGGGACTAGGCTGCGTCATGTGATATGTTCTGGAGGTCTGGACACGAATGAATTTGGCCGGGGAGTGGTCTTGCGTTAGCTTAATTAATATTGGCAGAGATTTGACGCTGGTAATTTTTTTCAACATATTTTGAACGTTGAAGTTGCAAAGGGTGCTAAATTTCCGGCATGTTCAATGTCCGGTTTAACTTCAATGTCAAAAACACATGGGTGTTCAATGTCGAAAGCACCTAGGTATTTAATGTCCAGTATTTAACTTCAATGTCGAAAATATGTTGAATGTTCTGCATGTTCAATGCCAGATTTAACTTCAATGTCGAAAGTACGTAGGTGTTGAATGTCCTATTTAACTTCAATGTCGAAACAGGGACGTCGCTATAGGGGGTGAGGGGTGGGTGGGGAGGGGGGTCAAACGGTCAAATTTGGTCAAAATTGAACTGATCTTTGCCCAAAGTTGGTCAAAATGAAACTGATATTTGCTTAAAATTGAAAGTAAAGTTTGGGATAAAAGATGGTCGAAGTAGGTCAAAGTTATGAAATGGCTCGCAATTTTAACAATTTTAAAGCTTTTGTTATGTTTGCTGTGAAAAAATTGGAAGCCTTGCTTATCTTGGTCGAAAAATTTTAGATATGCTTATGTTAGTCCGGAAAATTTTTTTGACTATGCTTAGGGAGGATTCATTTTTTAGCTGGAGGGGGGTGGAGGGGTGGTCAGGAGGAATTTGGGGATGGGTCAGCCAATTTTGACATATTCTTCAAAGGGGTTGGTCTTTTTATAGTTTTGGTATAAATGGAGGGGGTCATAAAAATAATCAGTGATAAAATCACCAAAATAATTTTATAGAATTTGGAATTATATGGATCATCAAGAATGGTAAAAAGTTCTAGAATCTATGAACTATATCGTCATTTTTAACAAAGAAGCAAAAATTCGTTTGACGCTCTGTCCACACAGTCCGTAGGAAAACATTTTCATGACTTTCGTCAATTGACCTCGTTTTTATCCGTTTTTGTGTGAAAACATGAATTAAAAAGCAGGGCCAT